TATCGACGAATCTCTTTTTTTCTGACATAATAATTATCATAATAATTATTTTCTATCATAATAATTATATAGGTTTTTTACAATATTTCTACTCTAATTTATCTTTTGGGAAAAATGCAAAGATTTTTAATATTATTTCTATCATTTTAATAGTTAAAAATTAATATATAATTATTATTTTTAATTTAAGTATAAATTTGATAGTTTATTATTTTTATATTATTGATTAATAATCTAGTTCCAGTTTCGTTTAAATATTTGACTTTTATCAACTGTTTTTATCTTTTTTAATAACAATAATACTTTAATATATATGTATTAATTTTAACATTTTTAAATATTTTGATGTTTAAGTCGTGAGGTTTCAGATTCTTTTGAGCCATTTTTTAATATTATTGTAAATTTATTTATATTGTTTTCTTTTTATTTAAGATTCTAATTATTTATTTTTTTCTTGATGTCTGTTTTTTAATTAAAATTACACATACAAAATAATTAATATAATATAATAATATATTTTTAAATATATTTAAATTTTTGGGATAGATATAATAATTACTAATATAAAAAAGTTGTTTGAAATTTTAATAGTAATTTTTAGAATAAAAATACAGCCAACAATTTTTCCAAATGTATTTTAAATAATAGCAATTTATGAATCGATTGTAATTTTCGCTCTTTATTTATGTTACACTATGCCCAGTAAAAACCAAGCCATCCACCCCACTTTCTATCTTTACACTATTTAGCCTAAACCCACCACTAAAAGAATAAATTATGTATGTAATAGAAAAATAATTTAAGAGTAAAGGCCAATAATTGATAATTTTATCAATATTTCTGCCTTTAATTAAAAACAAAGTTAATAATATTAAATTTTTATCACTAAAATAATAAATATCAGTGAAAAAATAATTTAATTTTTTAATAATAGTTTAATAATATAATTTTTAATAATAATATATTTAATAATTTTTAAATAATATTTCTTTTATTTTTTAATACCTATATAAAAATAAATCGAGTTGATCGAATCTGCAGAATAATTATTTATTTATAAAGCTAAAAATTTATATTTTCTATAAGAATAATATAATTTTTTACTGTATTATTTAAATTTTTTAAATGATCAATAAAATAAAATATCATACAAATAACAAAAAAATAAAATATGAAATGTACTATCAGTGAAATCTCAAAGACTAATGGAGCTTATAAAAGGAGAACTGCAAACATTAAAATATCTAGCTGTTTTATTAAAAAAATTTTTTGTATAATTTATCTAATATAAATTTATCTATTATAATTTTACTTTTAATTAAAAAAATTTGTTTTATCAATTTAATGGTTAATGGTACATCTAATATAATACTAATACCATGGATATCAAACAAATCGTTCATAGTGAACTAATTAGCCCGGTTATCCAATGAACATCATACTCTGGGAAGACTAAAATATCTAAAGCTTTAATTCAAAACGCTTTACATCTATTTAATTGATATTAATTAGCTACATAATTTGTTTAATATAAATATTTATTTGAATAGCTTTATTTTTTGAAGTGTAAAGATTTTTAATATAATTAATAATAAAAATAATCTATAATGTGATAAAAAAATTTATATTTTTATGTTGTGCCATAACATTAGATAAAACGGACGAATAAGATGATGATTATGATTAGAATAAATTTGCCAGCAAAATTAAATAATTTTTGGAAGAAAATTAAATATTTATAAGTTTCATTAAAATAATCAAGTTAAAATAATTTGAAGAATTTATATTCAGGATTATTATATTTATACTGAAATTGTATATTAATATCTATATAATAATATAAAAATGCCTTATAGGTTATCAATGAAATTGAAACATTATAGATAATATAAATTGCAGGTAATTGTTTTTGCAAATACTACTAAAATAAAATTTATTATTCATAATTTTCAACAAAAATAATATACTAATAAATTACCAATACACGGAGGAATTTCTATATAAACGAAAAAGGTACAAATGGTGGAGTTGTATACGTGAAATAATAACACAAGTATAAATTATTTATATCAAATAAAATCATAATAAACATATTCAAGCCTATTGAAGCAACTCTTATAAATATAATTTATTAAAATTTTTCTTATATATAAGAATATTCTTTGAGAATTATATCTCCTCATGTTGCTAGTGGCTAAATAATTCACATGAATCATAAAAATTAAAATAATGTTAATATACAGAAACTAATCAACTTGTAAGAAATTATGTTTATAAAGAAACCATAAAGGATGTCTACATCGAAATAATTATATAAATTGTGAATAAGTTTTTTTATTAAAGTACAAATGTAAATTAAATGATTTTGAAATTTCAAAAATTTCTAATAAATATTTACGAGTGAAGAAATATAAAAAACGATTCTAAACCACACTTTAAAAAATATAAAAAATTTAAGCTTGACTTCTTTGAGTAATTTGAGTGAAGTAAATTTATAATTTGATATAAATTAGCATATTATATTTTATAAAAATTTAAAGGATAGAATGTGAGCGGTTAGCTTAATATTCCTCCGAAACATAATTTTAATTAGATATTTATATAAATATTTAAATGGGGATATACTGATTGAGTTTTTTGTGCTTAAAATTTTAATTTGAAGCAAGATTTCATTTATTTAAAAATTAAAATTTTTGATGTGAAATTGCTTGGAAATATTAAATGCCCAAATTCTTCAAATGTTAAAAATTAAAATCTCAATGAAATAATTAGAATAAAATATATATTTTTCAAATTCAACATAAAAATAATTATTAAATACATGAACTAAAATAATTTTTTTAATTTTATAAAAATTTTAATAAAAATATTTCTCCATATACATAGGTATATATTCGATGTTCATCTAAATGCTTATTAAAAATAATAAACATAAGCAATGAGTGATTTTTTTATTATGGAGATTCCAGCTATTAATAAAAACTTAACTAATTAATAAAAAATTAATGTAATAATAATATGCCAATAATAAAAATAAAAAATTACTACTCAATAAATTAATATGCAAATGTACTATCGAAGATTATTCTGAACTGCAAAGATGACAATTCATAGCAAATTAACAATTAGTTTTTCTAAACAATTAATTTATTAACAATTAATTTTTTTATACAATCTCTATTTAATTACGTGAAACAAGTGATTATTTTAATTTCTAAAAATTTTAAAGATAATTTAGTAATTATTAAAATAAAATATAACAATCAAAATATTGCGAATAATTTACATAAAATTCAATTTAAAAAATATCGAAAAAATAGAAAATCAAAAAGGCAGTTGAGGTAAAATCAATTCGACCATTTGTGTTTAATACTTATTTTAGTGATAATAATTCATTGTAAAAATTTATAAGATTAATAAACATTTGAAAATTGAAAAAGACTATCGAATTTATTTATGATACTAATTTAACACTAAATAATCTATACAAAAATATTATCTATAGAAAATATTCACATTTTCCTTGAAATATTTTCATTTAAATGTACATATTAATTTTATTAAATTAAAAAATTATGACCTTCAAATTTTTTGATTTCGATTCAATTTGATTTATCCACATTCTATTTTAAGCAACACTATAACGGAAATGTACATGAAATAAACGTTATACAATAATAATTTTTTAAACACAATAATATTTTAATTTATTAATTATATAAAAATACATTTATCTAATAATTTAAAAATTAATTATGATTATATAAAAACAAGCATTATTTTAATTAATATAAATTAAAAATTCAAAATTTTATATTATATTTCTTTAAATGTAAGAATAATTAAATTTTCAATAATTTTTTCTCAATTTTAAATTTATTAGAAATAATGTTAGCCATTTATTAACAGTCCAAGAATCATAAAAAATTTGATCTATTGTCAGATGATTGGGACGACTATTTCTACGCCCCTAATTGTAAATATTCAGAACAAACCTGACAATGTTTATGAAGTTATGTTGATTTTTGTGTAGAAAATAAAAAGTAATTAATTATTAGAAATTAAAATTAACAATTGATATAAATATATTTACATTAAATTGTATAATATAAAATAATATAACCGGCGATCTCAAATTTATTTTTGCATTCATAGGACATCATGGATTGTATCTCGATATCCTTATTCTAGTTGTAGATCAAATTTAAAATAAATACAAATTAAAAGTAAATACCTAACAAAGTTTCACATTAAAATGCGAATTTCAGAAAAAATATAAAAATATTTTTATGTTTAATTATATGGATTTATCACTTTAATGTGTTCAAAATAATTTTTAAATTCTGAGTTTAATATTATTTGCTAAAGGTCTCATTTTTACTATTTATTATAGATAAACTTCAAAAAACTTTAATTTACAGAAAACATTAATTTTCAATTTTGTGGAATTAGTAGATTACGACGCAACCCTGGAATATACAATGCAATGAAGCTTAACAAAAGCATTTATAATTAATAAAATATATCATTTATTCAAACTATATTTTAATATCATTAATAACAAACTAATTGAACATAACAAAATTTTACGTTGAGTATAAAATAAATAAGAGTATAAAGTAACAAACATCTTACATAAAGTATAATTTAAAATTAAAATAATATTATTTATTCAGTGTATTTATTGTTTCTGTAAGTTAATGTATAATTAATTGTAATATACTAAAATATTAGTGGAAGTGTTATATAATTAAAAAATTAAAACATCTATAATAATAAGAATTGTAAAATATTAAAATAATATTTCCTAATATATATCAGTATGAAAATTATTGAATTAAAAAATGTTAAATTTGTAATCGAAAATTTTATTAGGTAGTAAAACGTGAATGAAACGGCGTGCAATGTAAACTAGGGAAGCACCGAGAGTCGCTCTATTGCAAGCAAATTAATTTAATTATATGTATATTTTTTTATTTATTTTATAAACCTTTGAATAATTAATAATTTTTATTACATTTTAAATTATGTAGCTTTTTATATTCTTCCTTATATTCTGTACTACTTGTAAGTGTCTTTTGTAATATACTGAAGATTTTAGGTTTTCCAAGTTCACATTTTTCGTTATCCACCAACTAAAAAAATTATTTTTATTTATTTAATATAAATTTAAACAAACATTATCTTCCCGAATATGAACTTGAGACAGATCAAAAAGAGAAATATTTGCTTTTTTAGCTATTATTCCAGCATATAAAGTATCTTCAATGTGTATTCCATAAAATTCTTTTGTGTGTTTCATCACCAATTTTATCGTTTTACTGTTTGCAAAGAATGTATTATGCATATATTTTGGAAGAATTTCATTAGGATATTCCTCCTTAGATAAATACCTAAATTAATTTAATCATTTCTGTCATGGTGTAATCAAGAATTATGCCATGTAACACACATAAGACAATAAATCATACCATTTATTGTCCTTTTCCCTTATTGTAGGTGTTTCATCTACTAAATATCCAAAAAATGCTAGGCCAGTTCCAGTTTCTTTCAATTGTTTTTTAAATTTGTTTTCATTCCAGAATGCCCAACGAGGCAAATCAATGATTGCATCATCATCAGTTTTCATAACATATTCCGCATTAGGGCACCATTTTTGTTGCCATTGAAAAGCAGCACCTACCTAATGTTATTGGTTCGATCAGTGAATGTGAGAAACTAGTTCCTGTATCTTATGGATAACTAATATCATGTTAACTAAAGATCGGTATTTTTGAAATGCCTGGGCCTATTCCAGAAGTGTCTGATTTATTGACATGGGCCGGATCCTGGGCGTGTAGTCCAGGAAATACCCAGGAGGTCAAAAAATGCTTGGGCCTGGACTCTGGGTACAGGAAAAACCCAGGCATTAGTTCAGACCCAGGCCGATCTCTAATGTTACAATTAAAGTAATTATATAAATTTCAATTTATTTAACCATCTCAATTTATTTAAGCATTTCAATTTAATAAAAAAAATACTTTAAATTGCAACATATGATAGCCTTCTGTTATATTATAGTAACGAATCAAATCACCAAATTGTTTTTGTTCTTCATCCAATAATTTATCAAATTTTCTTCCTTCCTCTTCTTCCAGTACTGGATCTCCAATCACAAAACGAATAATCATATTTTTACTCTTAAAATTTTATTTTATATACAGCTGACTAGTATAATGAACTCTCTCTACAATTAAAATCTCCATATATTAAACTTTTTCAAAATTAAAAAATGGAAGTAAATCTCTAAATTAATTCATGACTAAAAATTTGTTCGAACATTGGATTGTTCAAACTAGAGTAGCACACCGTCCCCGACCCCCGTCCCTACCCCCGACGAATTTTTAAGCAATAACCCCGACCCGAAACTCGAAGTCTTTACCCCGACAAAACCCGATCCCTGACGCCCACCCCATTGCGGGAAAACCCCGACCCCAGATCCCGACTATCTTTTTGGCAATAAACACAATCATAACCTCTAGGGCTCTACCCCGGCAAACCCCGATCCACGACGATCCCGCCCCCGAAGGCACAGAGGGGCTATTCTAGTAAATTTGTTATAAATAAAAATAAATTTGTCTAAAAAATAATTTAAATTATTTTTTACCGCGTCTTTAGCCCAACTATTCCTAATTCCCATACGTCTATGAAACAATTCCCTTCTAGTATTAACAAACACAGCAAGCTCTATTTGACTTCCAATACAAGGATCTTTTCTTGGTTTTTCCATTTTATAATGTTTTTGGACATTAGAAAAAGCCAATGTAAAATTCGTCAAAATGCCTTCATTTTTATGTAGCAAATAAAGTAGATTAAAGTTTGTATATTTCAATAAAAGCAAAATAGATACAAAACAGGCAGCTAAGACCAAAAATAGCCGAAAACCTCGATTCCTTTAATAATAAAAAATTATAATCAACAAGGAAACAGAAATTATTAAGTATATATACAGTCGATACACACTTCACTAGCACAGGAAATTGAAAAATAAAGGAGAAATTTTGATATTAGTATATCCGAAATTGGTTAAGGTTGTAAAGCTCAAAGGTGTAATCCTTGAGAAAGCAATAAAAACCCCGCCTAGAGAGAAGGTACATATAAGCTAAAAGAAAATAAGGAAAAGCAGCATAGTTGATTTTCATTCCAACTTAGTTCTTCATTAATCAATGGCCTAGTGTTCGGTTGGCTATAAGCCTGACCAAGTGGTTAACAAATATCATTCACTCCGCTCGCTACGTCACCTCTGGCAAATCTATTCTATTCACCGCACGCATTACCATCAACATCTTCTCTCTTAATTAGGCTGGCCCCTCTAGTTAAAATTAACTAGGTTTTGGAAGCAGTTGAAGAAACTTATCTTGGATTATCTATCATTGTATGATATTCTAATGAGTCCCGTCTGAATTAAATTATTTGATTAACAGGGAAAATTGGTGTATTCTCGAAAAAAATTTAAAAAATATTATTGATAAATAAATTTTATTTTTAGTAAAAGCTTGCCGTTTAAAACATGTGTAGAACCAAGTATATATTTTGCTTAAAGTTCTACTTGAGCGAGTAATGAAAAAAGAATTACAATTTGTTAAATATTTAAGCATTGATATTTTTAAAAAATAACAAGGAATTTTTGATATATGTAAATGTTTCCTAGTGAAAGACACGTAAATATATAAATTTATTAAAATAAAGAGCAAACAAATTTGTTAGTTTTTTTAAAACACTACTCATACAAAGTAATTTTTCCTATCAAAAATTTTATGTTTAAAAAGAATAAAATTCGCTTTCAAGAATGATGAGATCAATTTCTATCAACAAAAATATTTTTTCTAAAGCTCAAAAAATTTTCAGAGAAATGCCTAAAGTATTAGGTATTGCTACACAATTTTTAACTGCGACTCTCCTAAGCCTTCCAAATTCTTAAAATTTTCGCCTGCGGCGCAGAAAATGAAAATGAGATTAAAGGGGATATTAATAGGTAAGGGGATATCAAGAGGTAAGGAGTATCAAGATTGAAATTTCATTAAGAGTGATCGTTATGGATATAGGACAGGTGAGAGCAAGATTAATAGTAAGCAATCTGAGGAAGAGTCTTTTTGAGGAAAGTGCAGAAATGATTTTATTTTTTCCATTACAATCTCAAATTTATAATTTTGAATATGATTAAAATATTTAAGATTCGCATTTCGGATTTCATATTTAATTTTTTAAAAAGTTTCGCATTTCGGTTTTTTTAGAGTTCGTGCATTCCTGGTGTACACCAACCCTAATATTGCATACAAGTCGAATATACCAATTGAATTATTTTTTTATTATTTAAATTTTACTATAAATCTTTTTATTAACAATTATTAACTCATTATAAACTTTTACAACTATATAATTTATCCTTAAAAATTTCACATCTTACATCAATTAAGGCAAAGTTTGGTTTCACTATCACATTTATCTGGGCAACTTGTACAAGGCTCCCCAGCATGATAAACACATCTTGTATAAACATTTCCACTAAAATTAATTATAGAAAATTAAGTAAATATTTATTACGGTGGTTTGTATTGGCAAACAACATAAGTTTTATATAGAGGGCAACGTCCAATTCCACACCCAACTTGATAAGTTTGCCACCAAGCAAGTTGTGTCCAATGTCCAATACCTCTATTATTTTGAGGTGCATCAAATGGAACACAGTCTTGGCCAGGATAAGGTCCCAAAGCTCCTCTGTATTCTAACTCTGACCACCATCCTTTTACTACATACTCGATGGCAGCAGCTTTAATTTAGAGAAATAAATTTATTTAAATTACTAAATACCATCATCGTCCCTTCTTGCATAAGCATAGAAATTCTCTCCATAATTCCCATAAGGGTCCGAATGACTATAAGTGCATTTATCAGCCCATTCCTGTGCCTGCTTTTCAAGTTCTAAAGAAAATTCCATTTTTTTCAAATCTTTTGCTTTTGGCAAAAACTCTCCAGTTTTGTTCTTAACCCTTCCCGCAGCTAATTCAGCACGGAAATAATTGTGCCAATAGACTACTGCGTCACGTCCAGCTTGATCAATTGCGTCAGTAACTAAACAAAACTTTTATATTTTTAAATAAAACTAAATATTACATTCATTATTCATAATGGCAGAAAATGCCAAGATAGCTAATAATAAAATAAACATTTTTTAAACTATCTAAGCTCTAATATTTAATTAATTTCTTTGATGTTTTGAGTAAAATATTAAAATTTCTGGCTTTTATAGCAAAATTTTATACCACACAATTAATAACTAAATATTACATTCATTAGAAAATGCCAAGATAGCTAATAATTGTGTGGTCTAGGCATTTAAATATTGTTTATTTAGCTGTGAATTTAAATAAATTAATTAAATTTTACAAAAAAATTAAAAAAGTGTATTTCAACTACTTGAACGGGCGGAAGAACTAAATTATTTACCTAAATTATAAACTAAATTATTTAGTTTAAGGCTACGATTTCTGCGGATTTTGTCTCATTTTGTAGTTTTTTTGGATATTATGAGGATTTTTTATATTTTGTAGTTTTCAACAGGCATGCACATGGATACGGATTTTGCTATCCGTATCCGGATATATCCGTTGGGTCAATATCCGTATCCATTTGTATCCGTCCAACTTTTGAGTCATATCCATCCGCGGATATCCGCGGATATATCCGTTTTTTCTCAAAATGGTCAGCCTGACTACAATTTTCAAAATGGTCAAATTTATTTAAATTTTAGTGATGGGTAGATAATGAGGTAATAACTGCTAGAGATGTGCGAGACCGAAATTTTTCCAGGACTCAAGACCCAAGACAAAAATTTTTCCAAGACCAAGACCAAAACTCCAAGACTAAAGAAGGCTTATTTTCACTTTTTCAGCGTCGCAGGCGAAAATTTTTAGATGTTTGTATGGCCAAGGAGCCAGATCACTTTTTATGGCGCCGCAGGCAAAAATTTTGAGAATTTCTGAAGGCCAAGTCGGAAAAGTCAAGTTTTGTAGGCAAAACGCCGCGCTTCGCGCGGCGTTTTGCGGCACGCGCTTCGTGTGGAGTCAACCGTCGCTGGGTTCTGGGCACGTAACATAATCCTATTCCTATCATCGATGAGGTGGGCTCGACGAGCTTTTTTGAATGAGCTATCATTTGCAAAATCGTATTTTTCACCCAAAATTGAGCTTACTCCACCCTATGGTTTTTGACCATTTCGAGCTCTATATCTCGGTCCACAGGCATCTCCGTGAAAAAATAGTGGTACCGTTCGACTCAGCACCTTTTTCTACCCTATATATGACATTTTGAACATTAAATTAGGGGGTTACGTCATAACGGAAAAGTACCAAATAAAATTTTAGAGAATTTTTGAAAATTAAAATTCCTGGTTTCGGGCAGAAATGAAAATTTCGGTTATCTGCCCAGTTGATTTCAGCGCCGAAGGCGAAATTTTTGAGAATTTTAGAAGGCCGTAGGCCAAAAATTCACCATTGCCCAATCCCCTCATCAAACGGATATCCGCGGATTTGGAGCATCATATCCGTATCCATCCGTATCCGTCAATTTTTTAAAAAACACTATCCATATCCGTCCGTATCCGCGGATACCCGCGGATATCCGGATATTATCCGTATCCGTGTGCATGCCTGGTTTTCAAAATAAAATGTTATAGTTTTTACAAAATCTTTAAAATTTTCGCTTGCGACGCTAAAAATTGAATTGCACTAAAATTGTTAAAAAATTTTTTTTAAAGGACTGCATATGTACGCAATTAAATATTAAAAATAAATTTTATTTGATAAAAGCTTTAAAAAATTTTTTAATTTAAAATCAAATAAAACTTTAATATTTCTATGAAAATTTCTATTGTTAATTTTTTCAAAGAATTTTTAACAAATAAAATAAAAACTATCATTTAATTTGATTTTTAAATTTTATTATTAAATAATTTATTTAACAATAAACATTGAACTCGTTATAGTGCAAGAATTTGTTAGCTATTCACTAAAAGGTGTGTATCTAAATTTTCAGAAAATCTAGATAAAAAATCTTGAAAAAAGGGGTGGACTTATACTTATGTGGAGCAGTGTATGAAATTATCAAAATTATTATATATTCAACAATCGAATCATGATATTTTAGATAGTGGCAAATTTTGGTCATACGACACTTGCAGACGAGACATTTGCAGATAAAAATTTTTGAAAAAATTTTTAATTTTAAAAAAATCTAAAAATCCTAAAAACCAATGGACTGACAAAATAAAATATTAATTTTTATGTAAATTTTACATTTACATTTAATAAGCAAGTCGGATCTGCAAATGTCTGATCTGCAATTGTCAGGCCAATATTATCTGCAAGTGTCAGGGTAAATGTCATATCTCAAGTGTCGTGACAAGAAATACAATAGTAACGAACAATAGGAATATGGCTAATGCCGAATATGTGAAGCACTAGAATAAGCTGACTGAATAAAATAACTACGGAATAACACTAATAAACACAAACACTAGATACCCAACAGACTGAATATTATAATTTTTAGATTTAATTAAATCAACTGAAAACGACTGTATTGGTTACGAAATGGTGAAGAATTAAGTATAAAAAATTAGAAGTACCACTTTTTAAGAAAGATTAGAATGTCTTTAAAACGTAGGAATTTTCATCTTTTGTTCATCATTTTATTCAACTCCTTCTTTTGAGAATTCAATATATGTAGGTG